CATTACCCAAACATTTTATAAAATTAAAAAACTAAAAACATTCACATTTTATGCTGTCAATAAAGTGTTTTTACAGCTACGGTAAATTGTTTTGCCGTTCTCTTTTGGGTGATCCCGTTAGATTTGGGCCCATGCGTTTTGGCTTCTCTTGTGTCTTCGACTTTTCTTGTCATTTTCTATTGCAATTTATAACGTTTTGCTTTAATTTTATGAAAAATAAAATGCCAGGAAAAAGAACAACTTTTGAAGTCGCTCAGCTGGTGTATTATAACCATCAGATGGGACGTCAAGTCTCGGAACTGGCTGATATGTTTAATTTATCAAAAGCAACGATATACAACATATTAAACAGAGCCAATAAGGAAGATAGGCTAGAGGCAAAGCCAGTATGTGGTCGACCCTGCAAAATTTCTGACAGAGATAAGCGAAAAATTCTGAGAAAAATTGAGAAAAATCCACAAATTTCGCTTAGGGATATTGCTCAGGAGTTCAAGGAAGAAAGTGGTGTTGATGTGTCACATGAAACTGTCCGAAAATTACTGAATTCCAATGACTACACATCACGAGTTGCCAGGAAAAAACCTCTACTATCGGCGGCGAATATTTTGAAGCGGCTATCGTTCGCTCAAGTCCATGTAAATAGTTCGAACGATTTTTGGAGTAACGTCATATTCTGTGACGAAAGCAAGATGATGCTATTCTACAACGATGGGCCATCCAGAGTCTGGAGAAAGCCACTAACAGCGTTGGAAAACCGCAATATTATTCCAACCGTTAAATTCGGAAAACTATCAGTGATGGTGTGGGGGTGTATTTCGAGCAAGGGTGTAGGAGATTTGACCTTCATTGAGAATACCATGGATGCTAGACAATATCTGAGCATTTTACAGACACATCTCGTCAGTAGTGCACAGAAATTTGGATTCTATGAGGACAATAAGCCAATTTTTAAATTTTACCAGGACAATGACCCGAAGCATAAAGCTCATATGGTAAGAGTTTGGCTGTTGTACAACTGTGGAAAGGTGTTAGACACTCCACCACAAAGTCCAGATATGAATCCAATAGAAAATGTGTGGTCATATTTGAAAAAAAAAGTCGCAAAGCGGAGTCCAAAATCAAAAACTGATTTAAAAGCTGCTGTACTGGAAGAATGGCAGAAGATTCCAGAAACATACATACAAAACCTTATTGTTTCAATGAAACGGCGATTGCAGGCTGTATGTGACGCTAATGGCAGCCACACAAAGTATTAAAAAAAAATATTCCTGTTTTTTTAACATTGTTATTTAGTAATAAAGTTTCGTGTAAAAACACTTTATTGACAGCATAAAATTTGAATGTTTTTAGTTTTTTAATTTTATAAAATGTTTGGGTAATGTTATTTAACAATTCTTTTTGCCATTAAGTTCTAGGAAAAATATAGAATCGAAATAAATTAGAATTGAAAAAAAATTCTCACTTTTAGGTACATTTATTTTCAACTAAACCCAAAAAATTAGTTTTTTTTCGTTAGTCAAAACACTTTATTGACATACTGTAGTTAATTAAAAATGAATTAAGCCGCGAAACGTCGCCCACCAAATCTTTGACCCACATTTCCACCGAGGATGAATGGATTTTCCAAAAAGTGCGAAGCACCGCTCAAATTCAGACCGATCGGATGCCAAACAAAAAAGTTTTATACAAACGGGTTTTCGACATTTTTCCGCAAAATGTGGGAAACCTCGTGGGCCGAAACCTCGTCTTAATTACAAGATACGTTTTCCGTCTGTCTGCCCGTCGCTTTAATCTGGCAGACATATAACTTATTTGGATCCTCTAGTTAGACGCACAGATCTAGTTCATTTCAAATCAATAAATATCGATTTAAAAATAAGGTGTTTTTGACAACAACATCAACTGCGAGTTTGTGGCGGTTAAAAATACGCTACATAGAATGTTTGTTTTCGTACGGTATTACTCTGATTCATACTACAAAATCCTCAGCAATATAGTTTGGCAGGTGCTTAAATTTATTGTTGAATAACTTTTGTTGTTGTTATTTGATCCTCAAGAAGTTTGAAGGATGATATTCAAATGTGCGCAGCTGTAAAAGGCTCTAGCTTGCCGGGAGATATCCAAAAAGTTAAGTATATGATGGGTACACACTCTAATAATACACCCTATTTTATCCAATTTTAACGGATACAGATTATAGGGCAACACAACCACATTGCAAATGAAAAAAAAAAAAAGAAACGGCAAACAGTCGTTGAATCAACACACACATGCGTTTATCGGCAGCTCCATGGGCGGTGACGGTGGGCAGCAGCGGGAGCGGAATGGACAGGGAGGGAGGTACCGTCGAGCAGGGGGGGACCGCTTGAAACAGTGGAAAAGCGGCGTTGGCGGCACTTTTTATATTCGTTTAGCGGCGGCTACATCAAAGGCATATTTTCGGTTTCGCTGACTCGCTTGCTTTGTAGCCGCTGCTGCTTGTTATTATTATTATTGTTGTTGTTGTTGTTGTTGTTGTTGCTGTTGTTTGCATGATGTTATTGTAGTTTTATTCATCAAGCAACAACAAGTACGACGGCGACAACAACATCAGTGATAATACGAAGCAAACTTACAAATATGCATGCATACATGTATATAGGTATGTATTTATGTGTGTATGTATACGAACACACGAGTATGTTTAACGTACACAGAGGTAGTGTGCGGGGGGAAGCAATGGTTTTTTGTGTTGGCATATGTCTTATAATTATGGAGCATTGAATAACATATAAAACGTTTTAAGAACGCAAAGCTACAGACTATAAAATAATTTAGTTTTCTTATGTATATATATGTATAAGTAATCATTTTTGATCGTTGTCAATGTATGGTCGAGTGTGACAGAAAAGTAGAATACCTATTAGTTTTTAACTCTTCATATGGTTCCTTAACTGTTTTAAAAACGTTCAAATATTAAATCTGACTGCATTTGTCCAAATGTTGATATATTGATGAGCTCGTCGATCTCAGAAAAATGAAATTTGAAATTTAAAACATATGTACATATATTCTCTCATTCCATACGCAAAACAAGTTTATCAGTTTTTGTAACGATTTGCCATTTGCCAAATATATATTAAAGTTGTTTTAGTGAATTGATTTTTTAAGCATATCTGAAAAGCTATAAAATATCGACAATATAAAATATAGAAATATTTCACTTTCTCTGCTTATTCCCTTCACACACACAAATTTTAAGGCCAGAGCCGTGTGATTTGGCATATAGCCACATTTGAATGCCCAACAAGAGTACTAAACTAAACTTGTCTAATATGGTTTAAATAAATAAAGTGCCAGAAAACAATTGGAATATATAATTCGAAGGAAAAGGTCCTCTTTTTAAATTAAAATATATCTTTTCTTTCTTTTTATTCCCTGAACCCGTTAAAAATGGGTATAAGGGTATATTGTATTTGTGCTAAACCCAAATGTATGTAACAGGCAGAAGGAAGCATCTCCGACACCATAAAGTGTATATATTATTGATCAGCATCAATAGCCGAGTGGATCTAGCCATGTCCGTCTGTCTGTCTGTCCGTCCGTCCGTATGTATGAACGCAAGGATCTCAGAACCTATAAGAACTAGAGACATGAAATCTTAGATGTAGGTGCTCCTTGTGCCTGCACATATCGATAACTTACTCCGTTTCCAAGCAATCGATAAAAATCGATATCGATATCCTGTTTCTTGGGCAATTTTGGTAATTAATAAGAGCTAGAGTCACCAAACTTGACATATAGCTTATAAAATAGAATATATATATGCATTTGATGTTAGAAGAAGAGGGTTTAGGGTATCCCCTAGTCGGGAGCTTTCGACTAGAACCCTGTACTTGTTTAGATTTTGGTTTTATTCAAAAAGCTATGAGTACATTTTCATGCCTGCATCAAAAATAATAATAATAATTGTGTGAAGTTAGCAGACAGTTGTTGCACACAAATATGTTGTATTTTTTTTTTGGAGATAGTTGACTTTGTCGAGAACCGAGGAACCGAGTAGATGTTGTGATGTAATGGGCACCCGACTGTTTACCAATTGTCCGCCTCCTTGTTGAAATCACACTCAGTCTTTATTTGCTTGCTGCTGCAGCATTGCTCATGTTGGGAGGTTAGGCACACGAAGGCCATCGAAAGTCCAACGACCTTTCGTCTTTGGATAAAAAGTAAATCTGCAATGCAAAAACTGTATGAGTACGAGCTGAATCGTTCCTGTTAGAGATTCTGATATGATGAGGAATGTTTATTGTATCTGAGTCAGCTCCCATAATAACAGAAGTGGTACGATCCTCCTTTATAAACCCACGTGCTTTGAAAATAACCAATGGATTTTCAAATTGTATAAATTCGGATTATTTCCTAAGAGATTTGGCTTTTCGCTAAGGTTTTTTTTTCGTCCAAATTTAGATGTGTTAAAGTCCTGAAATGTTCATAATGCTGTTGGCAATGGATCAAGGTTATATCCTAACTGGAAATTCCGTCTAGCGCCTTTATATACTCTTGAAGAGGCTATTGTAATTTTTAATAAAATATGTAACTCATAAAGGGAAATATGTCCAATACCAAAAGGTATATATATATATATATTCTAGATTAGATCAACTCATAAAGGGAAACATGTCCAATACCAAAAGGTATATATATATATATATTCTAGATTAGATCAACAGCCGAGCTAATAAAGTCATGGCCGTCTGTCTGACTCTATGCCAACTAGTCCCTCAGTTTTAATGCTATACCTTTGCTAAATATACCCCCCACAAGTCTCAGAAACAGCATCAACATCAGGTCACTATTATTAAATTTTGTTCTTAGATGATTATATAATTCGGTATTTACGTTCTTCTCGTTCTTCGTATTTTTTGTATTTGTAATTTATATAAAACATTGGATGAATAAATATTTATACAGCGCTTTGAATACATGAAATATCATCTGATTAAATTTTTATTTATTTCCAGGCAAATAAAATTGGACTACCTCCTTTCTTCTGTCACAACGGAGACCCACTTTCAACGCCACCGCCTGCACATTGTGGAATACCTCCTTATCAGCTGGATCCTAAAGCAATAGGTAAGCAGCTACTTTCTCACAAGATGGTCCCTCAGATTGAATTAAATAAATATATTCGTGACGAGGACTCGCCCTCTATGGACAAAAACACACAAGATATTCTTAAGCAAAAAAACAAGGAGATTAAATACTCTTCCCGACAAATGAATGTGATTTTGTATACGATAACATTATTTCCAAACGATTGTTCCTAAAGAAGTAATATGATAGAGTACTATGATCAGGTTTTAATTCAGCGGAAAAAGAGTATTTAAGAATGCTCAAATTCTGAATCGAGATTCGTTTATGCTCAAGGGTCCAGGGTATTAAAAGTATCCTTGCTTTTCAAGAGAAAAATCATTTAAGTTTGAAGTCTCTGCCAATAATCCAATTGAACGCTTTTCGCCTATTAAAATGCAAATGTAGTCGAAGTCATGAACCCAAAATGACATGAATATGATAATCATTTGGCAATTGTCTGGAAAATTGCAATCATTGTTTGAAGTATTTTCTTAAATAGGTATATAAAAATGTATTTATTTTGTTTATAATTGTATTCGATTTTTACGAAGATTTAAGGACTTAAACATGTTATTAATACACTTAAACATGTTATTAGTACACTGTCGTAGGGCCATTTCTATCAATAGTTAAATGAGTTTTAATTTTAATTTTGAGGGGATTGCGGAAAGTATCCAACAAGCGGTAAATATAATATAAATTGTTGCAAGGGTCATATTAAAATCCTCTTCTGTGGTTAGAACATCAGTCAGGTGTAGGACATTTTTAATTGTGACGCAAATTGATTGCAATAAAGGTGCAACTTGTGTACCATGTTTTAATACCCTGAAACCACTGAGATTGATCTAGCCATGTCCCGCTGTAGACGGATGGATCCGCAATTTACGAATAAAACAAGTAAGAGGTTCTAGTCGGGGGGTCCCGACTAGGGGATACCCTGAACCCTCTTCTTCCAACGCCAAATGCAAATATGTATAATATTAAGTTTGGGGACTCTAGCTCTTATTATCTACCCAATTTGTCTAAAAAGACACGATTTTGATATCTATTTTTATCGACTGCTTGGAAACGGAGTAAGTTATCAATTATCGGAAACAAACTCGATCTACGCAGGCACTAGGAGGACCTACATCTAAAAATTCTTAAAATTTCTGAGATCTTTGCATTCATACACACGGACAGACGGTCAAGGCTAGATTGACTCGGCTATTGATGCTGATCAAGAATATATATACCTTATTGGGTCCGATATGCTTTTTTCTGCCTGCTATATACATTTGCATTTTGCACAAATACAATATACTCTTAACCCATTTTTAATGGGTTCAGGGTATAACAAGTAAGAGGTTACCTTGAAGAGGAACCCTTAACCTTGATAACCATGCTGTTAGAATGCGAAGCAAACGCGCATGAATGTATGTGTGTACATGTATACAGAAATTCTTGAAGTATTCGCTAGCTGTCCAATCCAATTGCACAGTTACATACTTTGGTTTAACCGCTCTTTATGAAATTTTCTACAGTAAATCTTATTGTACCATTGAATATTTGTGTATTCTGAAAAAGTCAATTGCATTTAAATTGTGGCTTAGATTGGTTGGCAATAAAAGTTGGGTTATTAACTTGATTTATAGCTCTAGGGTGTTAGCGGGGAGGTGGTGATAGGTATAAAATGAAAGATACTTGATATATGTATATATAATATTCTAGAAACAACATATGTTTGGTGACTATAAACAGGATTTCGATATCGATATTTATCGATTGCTTGGAAAGGGAGTAAGTTATCGATTTTGGGAAACAAACTCGATCGACGCAGGCACTAGGAGCACTCACATGTAAGTAGGTTCTTATAGGTTCTGAGATCCTTGCGTTCAATCATACGGACGGACGGACATTCATTCTATGCGAACTAGTCTGTAACTTTTAAAGCTATCGTCATGAAACTTTACAGAAGTCCTTCTTTCTGCTGCACGCAGTACATATGTCGGAACCACTGTATCATAAAGCTGCGAAGGAACGATCGGTCGAAAAGTAGGTTCTTGTATGAAAAACGTTTTTCTTTATCAAGATATCTTGCGATATATGCGAAATCTTATTTTCTTTGGAAAACTATATCAAATAGCTGAAAAACCTTTTGTTCTTCAGAATATCTTAAACATACTCGGCATTAACTATTTTAAAGCACTATGAGCATTATGAAAACGTTGGGTCTGCAAGGGTATTTAATTTTCGGCGTGCCGAAGATAGTCCTTGTTTCTGGTTATATAGTAAAAATAAGTTTAAGGCCGATCGGACAAGGCATTGCTCCGACTATCTCTGACCCGCATTTCTTATCCAAGGGGCACATTTGACGAAAACACGTCTTAGATGAATATTCACAAAGATCTTTGAGAATGAGTTTGAAGGCGACCGGATGGCTAACAAAAAACCTAAATTAAACTTATTCCGCCTGCTTATCACTGTAGCGGGGGAAATTTCCAAATACTTATTTATCAAGTTCTTATGCAGGGCTTTTAAAATAAGTTTGAAATCGGGCCAAACTTTTAACTTCGCTCAAAAAAATCATTGAACTGCATTTTCATCGAAGAAGCTTGGATCCTGCGTGTGAAACACATCTCAAATCAGTTTTCATAAAGAGCTTTGGATATTAATATCACGTTACTTCAGCCACCAAAAAGTTTTCGAATGATAAAAGAACACATTTTTAAATATAATTTCCAATTGTGTAGAGCAAATCAAAGTAAAGCAAAACGAGAAAGAAAGTTTATCTTCGCCACGCCGAACATCTAATTCCCTTAGAGACCCAACCTTTTCATAATGCTCATAGTGCTTTGCCCGTATCTAAGAATCACAGGGAAAATGGTTAATGCTGAGTTTGGTCAAAATATCTTGATAAACAAATAAGGTTTTTAATCAATAATCTAGTTTTAGACCGATCATTTCTATGGCAGATATATGTTGTAGTAGTCCGATTAACATAAGATTTTGCAAATTTGAAGGGAACTTAGTGAAATCCTTAAATGCCGTGCTTAATCAAAATATCTTGAATAACAAAATCGTTCATATGGCGGCTATACGATATAGTGGTCCGATCTTAAAAGGATTTTTCATGTATATGAGGAGCATAGTAAAACTAATAAATGCCGAGTTTGGTCAAGATATCTTGATAAATTACTATTTTCTTATACAATTTTCGACTGATCGTTCTTATGGCAGTTATATGATATAATAGTGGTCCAATCGAGCTGGTTTTAATACTGCAAGTATCAAGACAAGTGCGCATAGAAACAGACAGACGGACATGGCTGTATGGACTCGGCTGTTGATCAAGAATATATATACTTTATGGGGTCGGAGATGTCCCCTTCTACGCGTTACACATTTCACGACAAAATTAAATTACTCTCTGCAAGGGTATAAAAACAGAAGAAGATTAAAAAAGTTTCTTTTAATGTTTTAAACTAGAAACTTGAACTAAGAAATATATTTTCGAAATAGACATAACTTAAATTTGTTTAGCGAAAATAAACTCTTATACAAGACTTTGTAAGTCGAGTACTGATGAAAGATCGAAAGTAATAATTTTTGACACCACAAATAGCGAGCATATTGAAATCCCCTGAAAACATAGTTTGAATGCGACTCTCTGGGAGAACACTCTGTATATTGACAAGCCAATTGTCTTAAACATTTTTTGCTGTTGAAAGTAACGTCCTAACATGTTACTCATTGTTATGTATTTATATTATGTATATCAGTCATGGTTGAATGCGATAAGCACCCTAAATGTGTAAACAAGAAATACAAAAGCGTCCAAGCTGTCTAGAAAATACCCTGTTAAGTATTCTTAACTGCCGTAAAGATGGCATTTCCATGTGTAAATATGTATCAAAACTTAAGTGTATTCCGCTAATAGTTTGTGTTTTTTTTATTTTTTGAGGAGTATTTGGAGGCTTTCATAATTGAAAGGATTTATATATACGAATATATGTAATCCAAATTAAAATTGGATGGCTTTTGTAGCCAAGGTCGTCTTACAGTCATTTATCGAATTGAATTCTTCTCCTATTCTAGAATCTATTTAATTTTTTTGGGCTTTGGGTCCCTCCTTCAACCTGTTACATAAATTTGCATAAGTTCAATATGCCCTTAGCCTATCAACTTTCATTGAACAAAGGGTATAACAATAAGTGGATCACAGTTTTCGGGCGCGCACGGTCCGGTAACAAACAACCGAGCAACAGCCGAGTAACCCAACCGCAAGCTATTGACTTTCTCACCCTTCACCTCAAAAGCGAAATTCAAACAAATTATGAAATAATAATTGCACATGATGCGATTTTTTCGTATGTATGCTCGATTACAGCATCCATTCTTTCTGCCAAATTTCCCTTATCGTTTCATCCTCTGTATGTTTGCTTCTGTGTTCGAACAGGGTTTCGCGGTGGTTGGCCGTTTAAGGGCTCTGCTAATGGTAATGGTCGGCTGGTCGGATCTAATGGGAACCAACAGCGTAAATAAAAGGCATGCACTTAAGAGCTGCTTGCGGATTACATGGCATTATGATCCTTAACAATGGTGCCATACTAATAATTGAATAACACAATGAAATCTCAGCTAGCTGCCTGCCTGCTTGACAGTCTCGCTCGGTCCTGATCAATTTCTGAGGGGGTAGCTACCAAATAATGAAAACCGCTTTCTATAAATAATAATAAATAAATAATTTATTATTTTTTTTTTTTTTATAATCTGTATGTTTATTTTCGAGTTCTTAAGCACAATTTTTATTGCAATTAGTTTACACATATTGGTTTCTTATACAAATAAGTCAAATCTGATCTTAATTTTTTGCAGCTGCATAACATCTAAAAAAATCAAAAGCTTTAATTTTTAATATGTTTGGACTTTCTATTTGTTTTTTGTACTATAAATTACAATACTCTAATCAAGGGTGAAAAAGGTTAGAAATACGATATATAAGCAAAATAACTGGATAG